TCCTGCCCGGCCTGGCCCCGAGCGAGCAGCGTTGTGGGCGCCCGCCTTCGTGCCCTGCCTCTCCGCCGGGACAGCCACTGCTGGGCCTCCCCGGTCCCAAGTCCCGCTTCTGTGCCTCTAAGTGAGCCCGCTCCCCGCCTTTTCTTTGCCCGGCCTTTGAGCTCCTCGTTCAGCACCTTCCCCGTGTCCCCGACCCGAACCACGGGGGAAAAAACCCAAGGAAAAGGTACCCTGACAACCACAAGCTCTTTGGCTTGTGCCTATGTTGTGCTTTGTTGTCAGTCCTCTCATTTTCAGGCCCCCTCAGCGCACGGGGACGCTTCACCCCACCACGGCCAGGAAGGAGAGGCTGCGTCGCCTGCCTTGGGTTGGAGATGGGGTTGTTCACAGGCCGCTCTGGTCAGCGCCGGCTGCTGCTGCCAGGACGGTGCATGCCGTCTTTGCCACTGCTCATGCCCTCTGCACCCTGGCAGCGCTGCTGCACCTCCGCGGCCTCTCGGGCAAGGAAACCCACGTGCGCAGCACTTCCAGAGACAAGGGAGACAAGGGCCAGCAGCTCATCTCCAAGAACTGCCCCTGCTCCCAACTTCCCTTTCTCCTTCCAGCCATGGCATATATCGGGGTGGGCAAAGTCTAGCCCCCACCCCACAGACTCCACTTCCCAGCAGCCCCTGCCGTTGTCGCTGTGGCCGGTTTCCCTGGAAACCCCAAAAGAGCCAGGGCCAGGGTATCCATGGAGACCAGCCCCAGCAGTGCTGGCAGGGCAGGGAGCTGCTCCAGGCCCAGGATCTTACGGTGGTGACGGCATGGTCCAGAGCTGCGATCTGCTGCCCAGAGGCTCCAGGCAGGGGCATGCAGGCTGCCGATCACAGCTCTGCTGCAGCTCCAGACCACGCTGTCACTGCTGCACATCCCTGCCCCGGTCCCAGAGCAGCTCCCCATGAAAACCTTGGCCTGTGCCATCAGGCTCTGCCACTTCTGAGATCTCCATGGAAACCAGCAGTGCAGGCACGGGCTGCTAGGAAATGGAGTTTGCCACAAGCCCGATCCGCCATTTTGCTCACCCCTGCTCTATGCCTGTTCTACTGAGGTGACTCCAAAGCAGCAGTTGTTTCAAAAGGGAGATCTAGGAGAAGAGCAACTAAAGAGCACTGCTTTGGCTAATGCAGCATGCAACTGGAGACTTCAGAGATGGCATAATGTTTGGCAAATATTTGTCTTCACTTTGCCAATACTTACTATGGATTGCTTCCATCAAAGGTGCAAGCATTGCTTGAGCTGTAGCAGAATGTGCTCTTATAAGCACCTGGGTCTATACCTTAGCTTATCCTAACAATCAGAGATGCATTTGGCAAGTGCTGGGGTGGAAAAGACAACTCCTTCATTCTTCTCTGCTAAGGCCCACATATTAATCTCTTTTATAGTTTTAGGTCCTTGTATTGTATCAGGAAGAACATCTTGTCCATTTTGCAAGCAAGCCTATATCACTGAGGTTTTCCTGCTAGGACAGAGGCCAGCAACCTTTTCAAACCATGGGCTGGAACAATCTGGCTCTGATCTGGTGCCAGCCGGGTGGCTTTGGAGGTGGATCAGAAGCAAGAGAGGTGTGCAAGGGGGATGTTGCCTGCACCTGTGCCAGAGCCAAGATGCTGGGAGCTGTGCTGGAGCCAGCACCACTTTTCCTAGCCCCCTGCCCACTGGCTAGCTGAAAGAGCAGCTTTCAGTTCAGGGGAGCTGCACCAGGGACAGCCAGCTGGGAACTGCATCATCCATGCAGCTGCCATCACTCCCCCCCGCCTGGGCAGCACGGGCACAGCCTCCAGCCAAGGGAGAGTTGTGCAGAGGCTGGGCAGCTTAGAACTGTGTCCACAATACTGCCACTTCTCCCTGCACCACCCCTTCCAGTTGCAGCTCAGAGACAGCTGAAAGCTTCCAGGCCCCAGCTCCATCCGCCACCAGCTGGGGAGAAGCAGCAGCAATGCAGGCACAGCTTTGCTGCCCAACACAGGTGCAGGCAAAGCAAAGTCTTCCAGCTCTGCAGGTCAGATCCAGTGGCTTTGTGGGCTGGATACAGCTCACAGGTCATGTGTTACCGATACCTGGTATAGTGAGAAGCAGGACCATTCACTTCACCTCCAAGAGCCATTCATTGTCTAGGCTGTGTGATGTAAGGAGCTTCAGCGAGGATAGCGGTCCTGAACTTGCAGAAGGATGTGCTTTGGTTCATGACATGACTATACAAAGCCAGACTTCCAGGAGGCATTCTGCATCAGTTTGTTTGTTTTCTTCTCTCTTTCCTATTCTTTCAAAATACCAGCTGCCAATTAACCGCACTGACTTCAAAGAAGATGTGGACATACTGGAAAGAGTCCAACAGAAAGCAACAAAAATGGCTAGAGGGTGACTTATGAGAAAAAGTTGAAAAAACTAGGATTAGTCTGAAGAAGAGGAGACTGGGGTGGGAAGGAAGGGGGAATCTGAAAACCGTTTTAAATACCCAAAGGGCAATTATAAAAAGGATGGAGATAGACTTTCCTGTGGCTAGAGGACAAGACTAGGAGCGATAGCCTCAGACTCCAACAGAGGAAGTGTGGAGATTAGAAGGAACTTTCTAACTATGAGGGTGGTCAAGCATTAGAACAGGCTCCCTAAAAATGTCATGGAATCTCCATCCTAGGAAATTGTCAAAGGCAGGCTAGACAGACATTTGACTGGGATGGTTTGCTTGCGGATGATCCTGCCTTGAGCAGGGAGCTGCACCAAATGACCTCCCATGGTCTCTTCCAGCCCTACCTTCCTATGATCCTATGACATAACTAAGAACTACCTAAACTTTCTGAGTAGTAAAAATGTTTTCTGCAATCTGTAGCTGATAGCACAAATTCTGCCTCAAGCCAAGAGAAGCTGAGGCACGGTAGGTGTACGCCACTTCTCTGCCCTTTGGGCAAGACAAGGACAGGCAGGACCCATGGGCTAGAGCATGAGATGCACACACAACTACTGTAGAACACACACACGTCATTCAAAGGAGAACTGGCTTGGTTTTATTATTTGTTTTTTAAAACAAACAGACAAACAAAATTTTCATGTGTTTGCATCAGTTTAGGAGCCAAATCTTGGTACACAAGCTTTCCCTGTAGTTCTTGCCATTCACAAATACACTCCTGGATTCCTTAATCTCAAGACCCTTATTTCAAATTTTATTTGAACCCTCCTCTCCATCAACAAACTCTTCTGTTCTCTTCCCCACTCCATTTTAATCAATGGCTAACTGCTTTGTGTAAATAAATCAAAAGATAATGTCTTACTTGTATAACTCCCCACTGCAATAAATGAAATACAGGTTTCCCTCGATTTTTGCGGTAGATGCATTCCCAGGGAATGGCACATAAATCAAATTCGCATAAAGCGAACCCAGTTTACAATGAAACAGATAGGGATGCATTACCAGGGCACGGAGAGAGAGAGAGAGGCTGGGGCTAGGAAAGGGACGGGGAGAGAGGCGCGGCACAGCCCAGTGGCTGCAAGCAGGAGGCATCTGCCCTTCCCGGGGCTGCAGCAGGGGCCAGGGGCAGCACCAGACTCTTCATGGCGCTCAGGCTGGGCAGCAGCCCCACTCACCCCACCCCAAGCGCAGGCCCGAGCCTGCCGCAGCCACCGTCCCCAGCCTGCTCTCATCCTGCTGCCAGCGGCTGCCAGCCCCTGCTGCAGCCCTGGAGAGTGGGAGGCACTGCCTGCTTGCAGCCACTGGGTTGCACTGTGCCCCAAGCCCCCGCTTCCCCCGGGGCACCATGCCCCAACTTCCCTGGCATAGCAGAGCCCAGTGGCTGCAAGCAGGCTGCATCCACTATTTCCAGGGCTGCAGCAGCAGTGGGCAGCCTCCTGCAGCAGGACAAGAGCAGGCTGGGAACAGAGGAGCCCAGCATCTGCTGGCAACTGGGGCACCATGCCCCAAACCCCCTGGCATGGCAGAGCCTGGCAGCTACAAGCAGACTCGGCAGCCCCACTCACCCTACCCCAAGCACTGGGAAGAGCCTGGTGCAGCCGCCAGCCCGAACCTGCAGCCCAAGCTCTCATCTGGCTGCAGGCAGCTGCCCACCTCTGCTGCAGCCCTGGGAGCTGCCTGCTTGTAGCTGCTGGGCTCCACCATGCCGGGGGTTAGGGGCATGGTGCAGCTCAGCAGCTGCAAGCAGGCACCATCTGCTGCTGCCAGGGCTGCAGCACAGGCAGGCAGCTGCCCGCAGGGGGGTGGGAGCAACTGTAGGTGACTGGCATCAGCCGCTCCCAGATCAGCTGCATCAGAGGCTGGGGGGAGTGGGGGCCTGGCCCCACAGCCCTTTCCCCTCCTCTCCCCTTACAAAATCAGACTTACCTGCTTGGGGGAGGGCAGAGCACGCCTATGCTGATCGCATAAGATCAGTCTATGCCAGTCACATATATGTGAATTTACCTTGCATATAATGAATTCCAGGTACAAAAGGGTCATCGCATAAGAGCAAATTTGCATAAATTGAACCCGCAGAAATCAACAGGAACCTGTACACAATACTAACTCTGCAAAACCAGTGTATTTTACATAGCTAACACAAGGATCACTAAATAAGAAGTACATATATTCAACTTCTTTGAGATCTCATTCCGACTTTCTTCCCTTTATTCCTGTCCCTACTTTCTCAGGTCCTCTCAATCCTGGGAAAGTTTTTCATATTTGTCCTAGTGTAACTGCATCAGAAAACTTATCTGAA